TTTTTTTTTTTTTTTTTTTTTTTTTTTTTTTTTTGAGATGGAATCTCGCTCTCTCACCCAGGCTGGAGTGCAGTGGTGCAATCTTGGTTCGCTGCAGCCTCTGCCTCCCAGGTTCAGGCAATTCTCCTGCCTAAGCCTCCCCAGTAGCTAGAACTAAAGGCATGCGCCACCACACCCAGCTAATTTTTGTATTTTTAGTAGATACAGTGTTTCACCATGTTTGCCAGGATGGTCTTCATTTCTTGACCTTGTGATCTGTCTGCCTTGGCCTCCCAAAGTGTTGGGATTAGAAGCGTGATCCACCGCACCCGGCCAGTATTTCAATTTTCTTCTGGCTAAATAATAGTCCATTAAATAGATATATCACATTTTGTTTATTCACTTATCAGTTGATGGACATTTGGGTTGTTTTCTCTTTTTGTATATTGTGAATAATATTGCTATGAAAATGCATGCAAGTTTTTGCGTGAATATGTGTTTTCAATTCTTTGGATATAAACCCAGAATAGAATTGCTGGGTCATATGGTAACTTTATATTTCACTTTTCTGAGGAACTGCCAAATTGTTTTTCAAAGTGGCTGCATCACTTTACAGTCCCATTCAGCAATATTTGAGGGTTCCAGTTTCTCCACATTCTGGCCAGCACTTGTTATTGTCTGTCTTTTGTATTATAGCCATCCTACTGGGTGTGTGAAGAGGTATCTCATTGTGGTGTTGATGTGCATTTTCGTAATGACTAATTGTCTTAGTTATTTTGGGCTGCTACAATGAAATACTATAGATTGGGTGGTGTAAATAATAAACATTTGTTTCTCATGATTCTGGAGACTGGAAGTCAGAAATCAGAGTGCCAGCATGGTTGGGTTATTGATGAGGACCCTCTTCCTAGTTATGTTCTCCAGTGGTTTTTCTTTGGTGTGTGTATAAACAGAGAGAACTCATGTTTCATCCTCTTATTATAAGGGCATTAATTCCATCATGGGGAGGTACCCTCATGACCTCATCTAAACCCATTGACCTTCCAAAGGCCCCACCTCCAAATACCATAACATTGGGAGGCTGAGGCAGGCAGATCATAAGGTCAGGAGTTTGAGACCAGCCTCACCAACATGGTGAAACCCCGTCTCTACTAAAAATACAAAAATTAGCCGGGTGTGGTGGCAAGCGCCTGTAATCCCAGCTACTCATGAGGCTGAGGCAGGAGAATTGCCTCTCGGGAGGCGGAGGTTACAGTGAGCTGAGATCACGCCCGTCACTGCACTCCAGCATGGGTGACAGAGCAAGACTCCATCTCAACAAACAAAAAACAAAAAACAAAACAAAAAAAACGTTGAGGATTAGGGCCTCAACAAATGAATTTGGAGGGAGGGACATTAATATCCAGTCTATAGCAATAATGTTAAGAATCTTTTCATGTGATTATCAGCCATTTGTATGTCTTCTTTGGAGTAATGTCTTATTCAGGTCCTTTGTCCATATTTTAATTGGGCTATTTGTCTTTTAATTGTTGAGTTTTAAGAGTTCTTTATTCTCAAAGTCTCTTATCATCTGTATGATTTGCAGGTATTTCCCCCTATTCTGTGGGTTTTCAGTTTTTTGATGGTGTTCTTTGCAGCACAAGTTTTAAATTTTGATAGAGTCCAGTTTATCTAATTTTTCTTTTATGCTTATGCTTTCGTTTTGATGTAATACTTATTTGGCGTTACTTTGGTTGCTTATGTTTTTGGTGTCATATCTAAGAAACTATTGCCTGATCCAAGGTCATGAAGATTTACTCTTAAGTTTTCTTTTAAGGGTTTCAGAGTTTTTAGCTCTCACATTTACGTTTGTGATCTATTATTAAATATTTTAAATATTTGTGTGAAGTAGGAGTCCATCCTCATTCTTTTTGCATGTAGATAGATACTCAGTTGTTTCAGCGTCATTTGTTGAAAAGACTGTTCTTCTCCTACTGAATGTCATGGCACTGTCATTGGAAATCAGCTGACCATAAATGTAAAGACTGGGTGTTGACTGACACCGATTGATTCTCTGACACCAACTTGGCATCTAACAGTTTAAATCAATTTGACACTTAACTCCTGGAATTAGAATCAGACCATACAGTTTGAAGACTCAGTTTTTTGTTTTTTTTTTTAATACTTTAAGTTTTGGGTACATGTACACAACGTGCAGGTTTGTTACATATGTATACTTGTTCCATGTTGGTGTGCTGCAACCATCAACTTGTCATTTACATCAAGTATAACAGTTCTGTAAGACTGACCCCACTTTGAATTCCAGCTGAAAATGAGATTCCCAGGCTACCCACATTTCTGTCTGGCTGACTACAAATTTGAGGCTTCCCATGACCCCATCTTAGGTTTAGTAATTTGCTAGAATCACTCAGAGACCTAAGGGAAATACTTTACTTACATTTACCAGCTTATTATAAAGGGTACAACTCCAGATGAAAGAGATACATACAGCAAAATATGAGGGAGGGAGTACAGAGTTCCCATAACTTCTCCGAGCATGTCACTCTGTGAACCTGATGTGTTCACCATTCCAGAAGCTCTCAGAACCCTGTTGTTTAGGCGTTTTAATGGAGGGTCCATTTCATAGACAAGATTGATGAAATCACTGGCCATTGCTAATTAAACTTGATCTTCAGCCCTGAATGGATAAGTTGTCTCCATTACTTATTCTATAAGATGTGAGTGTTTTATTAGGAACCTTAATGGTTGCTTCATCCCTTAGGGATATTGTGAACAAGTTATTTTGATAGATTGTCTTTTGATCAGTCAAATACAATGCAGTACAGTCATAAAGATAAAGTGTTTGCTTGTTTTTAGAACTTTGCAAAGAAGTAGTTCTTACATTGAAGTGGTTATTGGATATAGAGTTTGGGACGATTTAATCTGCTAATATACTTAGTTTACATCTTTTCCTTTTTGGGGGAATACACAGTGCTGATTTGATTGGCTAGGAAAACTGTCTTATCTGGTAGCTTCTGTGGTGTGAAATGCAGTTGCTGACAACTTTTAATTCATAACAAGTCTGTTAATTTATTCCTATAAATTTAATATGTTAATGTAATTGAGTAACTTGAATCACTTCAGTTAAATTTAACTACTATTAGGTGTTATAAAATTTACTATTTAATGTGACTATATTTAGTAGGTTTTTCTCTCTTTTAAGCACTTTACTGACTTTAAATGGAATATTAGTTATCTGTTGTTGTGTAATAAAATTATCCCAAAATTTAGTAGTTTAAAACAATAGTAAACATTATTATCTCTCACATTTTCTACAGGTTAGGAATTTAGGAACAACTTAGCTAGTAGTTCTGGCTTAGGCTCTCTTGTGAGAATGCATAAAGATATTGGGGGCCTCTCACAAGAAGGCCACAATCAAAATGTTAGACATGCTGCAGTCATCTGAAAGCTTGACAGGAGCTATCAGGTCTCTCTTCAAGGTGGCTTGCTGTCCTTGACTGAAGAGTCAGTGCTGGTTGTTGACAGGAGACCTCAGTACCTCTCCACCTGGCCTCTTCATAGGGTTGCTTGAGTGCTCTCTTTGTATTGTGACTAGCTCTCCACAGAGTGAGAGATCTAAGAGACCATGGGGAAAGGGGCAATGTGTTTCATTACCTAGCCTTGTAAGTCAAACATTTGCACTTCCGCAGTACTCTGCTAGTTAGACAGGCCAGTCCTGATTCCACGATTCAATTTGTAGGAGATTGCAAAGGGGTGAGGAGCAGGCAAGGATCTTTAGGGCCGTTTTTGGAGGCTGACTACCACAAATGGATTTCTCTGAGTTTTAGGAAAGTAGACATACTTCGGTGGTAAACTTAGCAAGTTATATTTTAGGAGAATGTTTAGCTTTTTTGAGTAAACCATAATCTATGAATGTTTTTAAAGGGGCTAATTTTATGCTAGTTTTTCATATTCCAAGCAAGTGTTACAAGTGAGGAAATATGTGGGTCTTTTTTTTTGCAGATTATTTAAAATATCTGACAGTATACATGGGAGTGCTTATTCTAATGAAAGTGAATTGGACTCTCACATTGGCTCAGTGAAAATTGTACAAACAGAAATGAACAAAGGGAAATCAAGGAACTATAGCAATAGTAGGCAGAAATTTCAATATTCTGCAAATGTGTTTACAGCAGATAATGCTTTTTCTGCTTCTGAAATCGGAGAAGGCATGTTCAAAGACCATCTTTTCCAGTTGCTTTGCAGCCTCATGATATTCAAAGTAATTTCTTGCTTTTTCAGTTCATTTTATGAGTACAGACTAATCTGCATTTCTCAGCATATGGAAAAATGTAAAAATACAGTAAATTTGAGTAGATTATCTCTCTGTGCAATTTCTGCATTTTTTATTATGTTGCATTATTTTCTAAGCTGGGCTGTGTGTTAAAATATTTTATCCTGTGTGCTAAAAATATTTTTAACTTTGCTCTCAATAAAAAGTTGTGTTCGTTTTATTGAAACAGTTCTTATGGAAAGGTTAAAAATATTCATTTCAGGTCCTAGCTTCTGACCATTACATTTTTTTTAAATGTTTACATAAATATGTAGGATTTTTTTTCAGAGGTAACAGAAAATGGTTTAGGTTCCTTGAAGGCTGTCACAGAAATTCGTATCCTTTAAAGTTATTTACAATAGCTGCTTTATATTTATTAAATCATAATTTTAAAACATTTTGTTTAATTGTGTTTCTGTTTATTTTGGTTGATGGAGAAAAATAAGGAAAAGTTAATCTTTTTGGTAATGTAAGAGGTACATGTGGCCAGGTGCAGTGGTTCACACCTGTAATTCCAGTACTTTGGAAGGCCGAGGCAGCCAGATCACGAGGTCAGGAGTTCGAGACCAGTCTGACCAACATGGTGAAACCTCGTCTCTACTAAAAATGTAAAAAATTAGCTGGGCGTGGTGGTGTGTGCCTGTAATCCCAGCTACTCAGGAGGCTGAGGCAGGAGAATTGCTTGAACCTGGGAGGTGGAGGTTGCAGTAACCTGAGATTGTGCCACTGCATTCCAGCCTGGGAAAAGAGAGAGACTCAAAAAAAAAAAAAAAAAAAAAAAAAAAAAGAAAAAGAAGTATGTGTGTGATAGTGCTACTCAAGGTGTCACTGCAGACTGGTGCCAATTTGTGAACTGTTTGTTATCAGTTTATGACAAGTTCATTACAGAAGTCAGATTTGTATTATTGGCAGAACTCTGAGCATATTTACTTACAAATAGGTACAGATTACTTCTCATCCTTTGAGAAAGAGCAGCCAAATTGGGTTGAACTGGGCAGGGGAAATGGATGAGAATGGGATATTGTATGGAATGGGGACATTTCCACAGATCTAGTATTTTTGAAAATCGATTTTGGAGTTTTTACATAGAATCCAAGTTTCATGTCTGGGCATTTCCAGCGTAAATATTTTCAGTACATTTGTGTGTTCTGGAGGTAACATTGTCTTTGCTTCTTTAATACCCTTTGTATGCCTATAATAGTGCATTTATTCTGTTTTAATTCACCAGCAGTTTATGTGACTTATTTCCCCATGATCTGTGAATTATTTGAAGGCAAGGATCATGACTTACTTACCTGCCTATTTCCAAATACATTGAAAGGCAAATAAAGTAAGGCAGGTAAAGTAAGGAAATTGTTCTGGCAAAAGTATAGACATAAGCAAGGGTGAAGGTAAAAAAGTATGAAATACATTTGGAAAGAATAAGCTTTCCAGTTTGACTGAAGGGAAAGATATGATTAAAGAAGTAATAAGAAATGTTAGCTAGTTATCTTAGGATCATATCATATAATGTCATGAATACCAAGGTCAAAAGTTTATTTTATTTTATTTTTATTTTTTATTTCCCCCCCAGCTTTGTTGAGGTATAATTGACAAATAAAAATGTTATATATTTAAGGAGTACAACATAATTTTTTTATATGTAAACATTGCGAAAATAATTACCACAAGCAGGCTAATTAATGTATCTATCACCTTTCATAGTTACTTATTTTTTGTAGTGAAAATACTTACAATCTCTGTAATAAGGAGAAACCATGTAATATTTTTGAGCTGGTCAAATATCATCATTAAAACTATGCTTTAGGAATATATAATTAGTGACTCAATGCTTGGGAGTGTTCTAGCATCCACAGAAGTTATAGTCTAGTTGACAAAATGAAAACTGAATTCCAGATATTGCACAGCTGCGCTAGAGAAATCTGGCAACAATAAGTCTAATCCTGGGTACGCAAGGGATCATCTGAGATAATTCTGAAGTATGGTTAGAAAATATTTGCCTGACTTCTCATGAAAAATCGCCTCCAATGCAGATAGTAAAAATGAGGGAGAGGGATCAATAAGAGGGTTATACATGTTGATATAGTAACTATAAACAGAGCCAGTGTTTAGCACTTTATTCAGCATGGTGTCTCAATGCTGCCACACTTTCTTTCCTCTGGTGATCAAAATAGGATGGAAACATGGGAAATACATTAGCAGTAACCTGTTAAAGATGTTTAATTATCTGTACAATGGCTGATTCTTCTTATCCCTTACTGGAAAGCCTTTTCATAATATGACACTGACCTTTAAAGAGCTTTGAGGATCTTTGCTATATTAGCACAGCTGAAGTGGTTCTGTTGTTTAGGGGTCTTTATTAGTTAGGACGACTGCTTACACTTGTGTCCACTGATTTATTGTCCAAAAAGTTCATTTTGTATAAAACTCATTGTCCTATACCTTGTTTCCAAGTATGTATTTAAAGTGGAAGACTGAATGCTATTTGTGATAATTTGAGAGTTTGCAGATTACTTGGACATACCTTATTTTCTTATTCTCTCTAAATATTTTACTACATTTGAATCCTCAGGGAAATAGAAGTTTTCTCAGATTGATCCTACCACAGTAGTCTTGTCATTTTCAGTTCTGCAGACATTTTCCCCATAATTTCAGTGACACTGCTGAGAGTTTATTGAATGTAAGGCAAAAAATTGATTTCAGTTGTTGATAGTGATGATAAATGACGTTAGCAGTTGAGTTTTCCTATGAGCTGAAACACTGATTCTATAAATTGATATGGAACTATCTAATGAGAGAAAACCAACATAATGGCCCACTTGAGAGCTTGTTACAAATAAATATTTGATAGAAAGAGACATGTTTTGAAGGAAAAATGAGATTCCTTCTAAAGCTGATAGATTTTCAAATTCAAAATTATGTTTTTGTTTTGGCGCAGATATGACACTTTGCACACCAGAAAGTAAAATGAGGATTTATAAATTAACTGCTTGATGTAATAATTGCAAACCTGTATTAACTGAGTACTTACTATGTGTCAGGCACTGTTCTTGGTATTTGAGATATGTCACTGAAGAAAACAGACAATGAATCCTTGCTTTTGAGGAGATATAATTCTTGGGATGAGGGTGGGGAAGAAGCTAGATCTCAACAACTGTAATAACATAAATAAGTCACAGAGTTTTTTAGAAAGTGGTGACTATTATGGGAAAAGAAAAAAGTAGAGCAGGGTAAGGGGGTTAAATTGGGACTGCTGGGATTCGTGGCTCAGGGTGTAGAATTAAACAGTACTTAGGGTAGACCTTGAGAAGGTCAGATGTAAGCACTTAATGGAGAGAAAAGAGCCAAGGAAATATGGAGGGAGTAACAGTCTAGGCAGGGGAAGGCCTCATGGCAGGAACATGGCTGATGTTTTTGAAGAACAGCAGAGTTCAGTATAGCTAGAGGAGATGAGTCGGGGGAAAGAGTAGTAGGACATGAAGTCAGAGAGATAAAGGCAGGGGCTGATGTGGGGAGGGAGTGGCAGTGGGGAGACAAGGTCATGTAGAGCCTTATAGCCATATATTTTGAGAGAAAGGGAGGATTTGATCAGAGAAGTAATATGATCAAAGTTTAGACAGGCTCACTACAGCAATCCATCAGTTCTTGCATATCTTTATAAAAATCCAGTTGTTTAAATAACTGTGTACTTGTGTTCTCAGATAATGTTCTTAACCATCTTATATCTTCTAATAGATTATAACAGTCTCAATTGTAGGAACTCATTTTCTTCTTTATTTACAACTTCCCACAGCTTTCTAAATCTATTAATGTATTCTGTATATAGTGTTCAATGACTATAGTTGATATATTGTAAGAAGAATACCATGTAAATACAGATATCTCCCAATCTGTCAATAGACCCTCACCTTGGAGAGGGCACAGTTTATTCTTCATATCTATTGATATTTTTGAACTTTCTTATAGGGGAAGGATGATTTAAGTTCTTCCTGTCAAGCCAGTGTGTTGATAATTACAATTAAACCCACCACCTAACACAATTCAATTATCAAAAACAAAGAGATTTAGTATTAGGTAACCAGAAACACATCAGCTAATGAAGTACAATCAATGCTTAATAAAATAGTTGAGTGAAATTCTGTACATTGAAGAAGAGATAAAAATCAAGTGGCCTTGTCAAGGTAAATAAGAAAAAGCACTACTCTGGAAAAGATAAACCAGAACTATAGTTCGGATTTACTTGCCATTATGTACTTGCATCTCTTCCATCATATTTAGCACTCAAGTATAACCCTTATATAATCTCTTATTTCCCTATAGGAACTTTGCAAGTTCTTTTCAGAATATGGAATGTGACTGGAGACTAGAATAATTTATGATAATTCTTTTCTTAAGATGTCAAATAGCAAACGTTAAAACCTCATCATTAAACGTTGTCAGAATGAATATTAATGTAACTTAATTTTAAAATTAAAAGTAACCAATTTTTAAAATTCTGAAATATTTGACTCCTTAATGTTATTGTAAGTGGCAAAATTTAGAAGTGTTTTCAAAGAATTTCCGTATTTCAACTATATACAGTCCAAAGCCTTTGATGATGTATTTTATTTAACTTATTTTTTTTTCTACCTTTCACTAGGTTGTGATCACTAGATTGGGACAGCTGGGATTTACTAGATCTTTGTGTTTGCACTGCCACTCTCAGTGTCTAGCACATTATAGGAGCTCAGAAAATATTTGGTAAATGAATATGTGTGATTTTCATAGGTGGATTTGTTTGTATTTGAGTGCGGTGGTGAAATCTCAGCTCACTGCAACTTCTACTTCACAGGTTCAAGTGATTCTCCTGCCTCAGCCACCCAAGTAACTGGGGTTACAGGTGCGAGACACCACTCCTGGCTAAGTTTTGTATTTGTAGTGGGAACAGGGTTTTGCTATGTTGGCCAGGCTGGTCTTGAATTCCTGACCTCAAGTGATCTGCCTTCCTTGGCTTCCCAAAGTGCTGAGATTACAGGTGTAAGCAATCCCGCTTAGCCAAGAATGATTTTCTTCTAGATCTGCATTGACAAATAAAACAGCATGATAGGCTGGGCGCAATGGCTCACGCCTGTAATCCCAGGACTTTGGGAGGCCAAGGCAGGTGGATCATGAGGTCAGGAGATCAAGACCATCCTGGCTAACACGGTGAAACCCCATCTCTACGAAAAATAAAAAAATTATCCGGGTGTGGTGGCGGGCGCCTGTAGTCCCAGCTACTCTGGAGGCTGAGGCAGGAGAATGGCATGAACCCGGGAGGCGGAGTTTGCAGTGAGTGGAGATCCCACCACTGCACTCCAGCCTGGGCGACAGAGTGAGATTCCATCTCAAAAACAAACAGCCCCAGAGCAAGATGGCCGAATAGGAGCAGCTCCAGGCTCCAGCTCCCAGCGTGAGCGACACAGAGAACGGGTGATTTCTACATTTTCAACTGAGGTACTGGGTTCATCTCACTGGGGAGTGCCGGACAATCAGTGCTGGTCAGCTGGTGCAGCCCGACCAGCGAGGCTGAAGCAGGGGGAGCCATCGCCTCACCTGGGAAGCACAAGGGGGAAGGGAATCCCTTTTCCTAGCCAAGGGAAACTGAGAAACACAACACCTGGAAAATTGGGTAACTCCCACCCTAATACTGTGCTTTACCAGGGGTCTTAGCAAACGGCATACCAGGAGATTATATCCCACACCTGGCCCAAAGGGTCCCATGCCCATGGAGCCTCCCTCATTGCTAGCACAGCAGTCTGAGATCTAACTGCAGGGCAGCAGTGAGGCTGGGGGAGGGGCGCCCGCCATTGCTGAGGCTTTAGTAGGTAAACAAAGCCACTGGGAAACTCGAACTGGGTGGAGCGCACCTCAGCTCAGGGTGCCTGCCTATCTCTGTAGACTCCATCTCTGGGAATAGGGCATAGCTAAACAAAAAGCAACAGAAACCTCGGGAGAGATAAATGACCCTGTCTGACAGCTTTGAAGAGAGCAGTGGATCTCCCCGCACGGAGGTTGAGATCTGAGAGCGGACAGACTGTCTGCTCAAGTGGGTCCCTGACCCCTGAGTAGCCTAACTGGGAGACATCCCCTACTAGGTGCAGACCAACACCTCACACCTCACACGGCAGGGTACACCCCTGAGACGAAGCTTCCAGAGCAAGAATCAGACAGCAACACTCGCTGTTCAGCAATATTCTATCTTCTGCAGCCCCCGCTGCTGATACCCAGGCAAACAGGGTCAGGAGTGAACTTCAAGCAATCTCCAACAGACCTACAGCTGAGGGTCCTGACTGTTAGAAGGAAAACTAACAAACAGAAAGGACACCCACACCAAAACCCCATCAGTTCGTCACCATCATCAAAGACCAAAGGCAGATAAAACCACAAAGATGGGAAAAAAGTAGGGCAGAAAAGCCGGAAATTCAAAAAATCAGAGCGCATCTCCCCCTCCAAAGGAACGCAGCTCATCGCCAGCAATGGATCAAAGCTGGACGGAGAATGACTTTGATGAGTTGAGAGAAGAAGGCTTCAGTCAATCAAATTTCTCAGAGCTAAAGGAGGAACTACGTACCCAGCGCAAAGAAACTAAAAATCTTGAAAAAAGAATGGAAGAATGGATAACTAGAATAATCAATGCAGAGAAGGCCATAAATGAACTGAGAGTGTTAAAAACCATGACACAAGAAATACGTAACAAATGCACAAGCTTCAGTAACCGACTTGATCAACTGGAAGAAGGAGTATCAATGACTGAAGATCAAATGAATGAAACGAAGTGAGAAGAGAAGTCTAGAGAAAAAAGAGGAAAAAGAAATGAACAAAGCCTCTAAGAAATATGGGATTATGTGAAAACACTAAATCTACGTCTGATGGGTGTGCCTGAAAGTGAGGGGGAAAATGGAACCAAGTTGGAAAACACTCTTCAGGATGTCATCCAGGAGAACTTCCCCAACCTAGTAAGGAAGGCCGATATTCAACTTCAGGAAATACAGAGAATGCCACAAAGATACTCCTCGAGAAGAGCAACTCCAAGACACATAATTGTCAGATTCACCAAAGTTGAAATGAAGGAAAAAATGTTAAGGGCAGCCAGAGAGAAAGGTCGGGTTACCCACAACGGGAAGCCCATCAGACTAACAGCAGATCTCTCGGCAGAAACTCTCCAAGCCAGAAGAGAATGGGGGCCAATATTCAACATTATTAAAGAAAAGAATTTTCAACCCAGAATTTCATATCCAGCCAAACTAAGTTTCATAGGAAGGGGAGCATCACACACCGGGTCCTATTGTGGGGAGAGGGTCAGGGGGAAGGATAGCATTAGGAGATATACCTAATGTAAATGATGAGTTAATGGGTGCAGCACACCAACAAACCTGCACGTTGTGCACATGTACCCTAGAACTTAAAGTATAAAAAAAAAAGACCCATACTTGTGGTATGGATTGTTGATAGCTTATTTTTAGTATATTCAGTTTTTAACATGATTAATACAAAAGTTATGAATTTATTTTCAGTTTTGTGCAGCAAGGAAGGGTATGCAACAGGCTGCTTCTATTCTTGTGAAAGATGCTAAATTTATTATGACTGTGGGACAGAAACAGAGGTATAGTTTTTCATTTTTTCATGGAAGTAGAAGGACTTTTAGGGCTCATCTAGATGAGATGAGAAAATTAGGCTTGTCCCATAACCTTGGGGTAAACCTCAGTGTCCTCATCTATAAAATAAGGATAATGGTAATTTTGAGGATTAAGTGAGATAATGAATCTTAGTGCAGGGGTGATCCAGATTTCTTGAATGATAAAGATCATCCATACTGATAATCTAATGGTCAGATTTCTTGAATGACAAAGATTATCCATATACTATCTATTTTTTTAACCTAATTTCAATCCAGCATCTTTTATAGTCTTTCACTAAAGCTGATCTTGTTAATTAATCTTTAAGGACTTTCTATCATATTTGGCCACTTCTACCTTACTTAAACACTCTGGGCTCTGTGCTTCCGTGATCATTTCTACTGATTTTCTTCCTACTTTGCAGACTGCTCATTCTCAGTCCCTTTTCACCTCTTCTACCCAACTCTTAAATGTTGACATTCAAGTGAGTATATCTGAAGTTCATTCTAATTCCACACTCTTAGTTGTTTGTAACTACTCACATGAACTTCAAATAATATTTATGTGTGTCTACGCATTCCCACATTTATGCCTTCAGCCCAGACTTCCCTACTGAACTCCAGGCCTATAGTCCGTCTGTGTAACTGAATCCAATTGTATGTCTACCGATAGTCATCTCAAACTCAGTATGTACAAAATAGAACCTTGGTTCTTGCCGTCAGACCAGCTCCTTCTCCAGTGTTCCCCATCTTAATTATACATTATCTCCCTAGTTACTCATAGCAGAAAACTATCACTGATATCTTCGTCACCTTATACCTCATAGGCAATCAATTACAAAGTCCTGTTTATTCTTCTAAATATATCTCAAATATGTCATTTTGTCTCCATCAACACTGCCACTTCCCTAATTCAAGCCACTATTAATCTCTTGCCTAGGCTGTATCCTTTTCTTTAATTACTACACACACACACACTCTTATCCCGCTTTGTTCTCTGCATAGCATAGATTGTGTAAGATTGCAAATCTAAATGTCAGTTTCCTGCCTAAAACCCTTTAATAGCTTCTTATTGTCCTGGGGATTAAATGCTAAATCCTTAGTGTGGCCTGCAGCAGCCCATATAATGTGATGCCTAGCCAATTCTCCAGATTTATCATGACCATTCTCCCCCTTTACTCACCACGGTCAAGCTGTATTGGCCTCTGTGTTCTGTGAATACACCAAACTGTTACTCTGTACAGCATCGTCTTGCATCATGCTTTCTTTTACTGGAATGGTTTTTAACCTAACTCCTGTTTATCCTTCATGTCTAAACTTTAATATCAGTTTTCCATAGTCATCAGTTTCCCTGTATTTACTTTTATAAGCAACCTGTACTTGATTTCATAACACTCACTATAATTATAATATCCTTTTAATACTTATTTTAATATCTTTTCCATTCATTAGATTATCAACTTCTTCAGGAAAGGGGGACTCATGTTCATCCTGCTTACCACTCAATCTTAGCAGGTGTGTTAGGTCATTCTTGCATTCATATAAAGAAATTTCTGAGACTGGGTAATTTATAAAGAAGAGAGGTTTAATTGGCTCACAGTTTTGCAGGCTGTACAGGAAACATGGCACCAGCATCTGCTCGGCTTCTGGTGAGGCCTTGGGCTGCTTACAGTTATGGCAGAAGGCAAAGGATGAGTTGGTGTTTCACATGGTGAGAGCAGGAGCAGGAGTGGGGCAGTGCCATACACTTTTAAGCAACTAGATCTCACAAGAACTTACTCACTGTTGTGAGGACAGCACCAAGCCATTAGGGATCTGCCCCCATGATCTATTCACCTCCTACCAGGCTTCACCTCCAACACTGGGGATTTCAATTTAGCATGAGATTAAATGGACAGCATCCAAATTATAGCAGAAGGTCTCAGCGGAGTGGTAGCACATGATTACTATGTAATGAACCTTAACTTATTATTATTGTTAATAACTTCTGGAAATCAATAAATATGTTTAGTGGTAGACCTCAGACTAAAATGGGACATGTGGATTTGAGCAGATACTTACTTTTCTGCCTAATTTTGTATAGTGAGGGATTATACTTCTCTCTGCTTTGGGTCAGATCAGCTTTCCAGTTACCATTCTGTTCCTTTGCCACCACCTCTGGTTGCTTGTCAACCAAAGACACGTAGCAAGCCTAGAGGAGCCAATTTAGTCTTCTTTACATTCTTTGTTGTTGTTGTTTTTTAAATCCACTAAAAAGGTAGACTATAAAGATAGTCTATTAAAGCATTACAAACATAACCAGTTATTCACCCTCTAGATACTATTTTGACACTTTCCCTTCCATTTGAAGGATTTAACTTGATCTTAGTTACTACCATATGAAAAAAAATTTCTAGGATGTGAAGACTATAGAGTAGTTCTTTTATAATACACATCAACAAAGCAAGATTAAGCAATAAGAAACAGTAGAGAGCAAGACAGAATGAGAAAAACCAACAAAGAGCTCACAGCCAAAAAGTAGATGAAGTCTGAGAGGTAGATAGAAAGGGAGAAAGTGAAATTATTGCTACAAAGGTAAGAATACCATCAAATGATTAATAATTTTCATACCAACTGCATGTAGTTTTATAGCATTCTTATTAATTTTCTAAGTTTTTAAAACAAAGATGGGGTTTCAAAAATGTTGACCAGTTCATTATAAAACTAGTAATAGAATAAAGGTAAACTGGGATTTTTAAAAAAGTGTAGGTATAGGGCAGAGAGGTTATAAGTAGCTATAAACAGTTTGAAGCTTTCTACTTGTTGGGTGAATAAACTAGATGATCAGGTTGGATCATATCACTTTTTGTCAGAAACAAGATGTGCGGATCAAGTAATGAGACTTATTTTCTTGCTCATAAACTTAACTCTGAAGGCAATTTTGAAAGACTTATGGAATTCTTTGTGCAATGGCGACATCATTCACATAGAAATATCTGGTGTCCTAAGGTGAATACATAATAATTAACATTTTTGAACTGAAGTTATCTATATGAGTAGGAAACTGAAATACACTATACATTCCCTTAAATCTAATGTACATTTCATCCTATCCCTTTATTCTGTTGCACACAAATTAGCTAATTTTGTTTCAGATAATCATTTTCTTGCAAGCATATATCTTAATTCCTTTTCTCATTTCCCACTCTTACCTAGTTTCTTCTTTCTTCAGTCTTTGCTCCTTATTTTTTCTTTATCTCCTTGTTTTTTCTTTTTTGTTGTTGTTGTTGTTGTTTTTTCAGGAACATACTGGAGTTAGAGAGTCAGATTTGAATTACAGTACTGCTACTTTTACTAGCTGTGTACTATTAGGTATATTACTTAACTTCTCTTAACTTCAATTTCTTAATCAATATTGTATACGTGAGAATCAATCATCTCACCGTGTTTCTATGATAATTAAGTAAGGCAACATTTCTAAGATACCTAACAGTGGGTAGCAGAGTTTGTACTTAATAGTAATTAAGTACAACTTATCTTGCCTTATCTTATTTCCATTATGAATCTGTAAAAAAAGTCATGAGTATTATAAAAGTAATTCATCCTAGTGTCATATCTGCAACAAGGAAATAGAAAAATACTAGATTTTTTATGTACTTAAGAACCAAGCCTACCAACTTTCAAAATCTTTTAATGTACCCAGAATTCATTTTCAAATTATCAATACACTTCCTTAATTTGCTCTTCTCTTTTAACTTAACCTAGTTCTTTTTTAAAAAATAAATTTTATATGCATATTTGAGATTTACAGCATGATGTTATGTGATTCATATAGCTAATAAAATGGTTATCATAGTGATGCAAATTAATATATCTCTCATCTCATAGTTATTTTTTTGACAAGAGTAGCTAAATCTACTTACTTAACAAGAATCCCTAATCCAAAATAATTTTATTCACTGTAGTCTTCATGTTGTACATTAGGTCTCTAGACTTGTTCACACTATGTATCTGCTTTTCTGTGTATCCTTTGACCTACATCTCCCCATTTCTTCTCCTGTTCCCACCCTTCCTGCCTCTGATAGCTACTATTTTATTCTCTTTCTCTGTATATTTGATTTTAAATAAAAGGTTTCACATATGAGTGAGAACATACAATACAATATTTTTCTTTCTGTGACTGGCTTATTTAATTTAGTGTCTTAGCAGTGTCCTCCAGGTCCAGCCATGTTGTGGCAAATGGCAGCATCTCATTCTTTTATAAGACTGCATAATATTCTGTTGTGTGTGTGTGCATGTGTTTGTGTGTATACTGTGATGCATATATATGATATATATACACACACACACCACATTATATATCTCATATATATTATATACCACATATATATCATATACACACACACACACCCCCCCCACATTTTTCTTATGCATTAGTTCATCAACGGACCTTTAGGCTGTTTCCATATCTTAACTATTATGAACAGTCTGCAAGGAACATGGGAGTGCAGATATCTTTATGAGGTAATGATTTCTTCTTTGGGTGTATACCCAGAGAACAGGTTGCTGGGTAATATGGTAATTCAATTTTTAATATCTTTAGAAATCTCAGTAGTGTTTCCATAATGGCTGTACCAATCTGCATTACCACCATAGTGGACTAGGATTCCCTTTCTGCACACCCTCACCTACATTTGTCGTCTATAATATAGTAGTTTTAATTTACATTTCCTGATAATTAGTGATGTTGAACACCTTTTCATATACCTGTTGGCCATTCTTATGTTTTTTTTTCCTTCCACTTATAAGTTTAAGGGTACCTGTGCAGGATGTACAGGTTTGTTATATAGGTAAACGTGTGACATGGTGGATTGCCGTACAAATCATCCCAGAACCTAGGTATTAAACTCAGCATCCATGAGCTATTATTCCTAATGCTCTCCCTCCCCAACCTCCCCAACAGATCCCAATGGTGTTGTTCCCCTCCATATGTCTATGGGTTGTCATCA